CCCGGGCTAGGTTCCCCTTAGCTGTGGTGGAGCAGAGTTCGCGCGGCCAGCGGCCAGAGGGGTTGGGAAATAGCCAGGATCCATCCCATTTGGGGCCGTGGTCGCGGGTCGCGCAGCCGGCCTCAGACCGGGCGCCGGCATCCAGCCCGCCCCGAGGCGTCTCCCGGGGCCCGGGGTGCTGGCTCCCAGCACGCGGCTGTGCGTCCCGAAAGGTGCCCTGTGTGGTGGGGGGACCGGGCGTGGATACTTTCCGAGCGCCCCTTGGTGACCGGAGCTAGGCAGGGATGGACGCTGTGTCTGGACCCTGACTGCGGGGACAATGGGGAGCCTCGAGGAGGCCCAGATGTCGCAACCGAGGAAGTCTGTGTCTGGTTCTCATAAATCCCGAGGGCGCGCACCACGCCCCCTCTCCAGCCCTCCCAGAGGGGCCACAGGCCGCTGCCCCGGGGCGGGGAGGACATCCCGAACACGGCCCCACCTCCCAATTTCAGACTGGGGGAGACTGGCGCCACTCCAGGAGATGTTGGTCGTCACATGGGCTCACGGAATGGCACAGCCCCGGCTTCCTCACTCCTACCGGGATTCCGAGCTCGGCCTGGGGAGGTTAGCGCAGAGGAGCCGCGCTAAGAACACTGTCCTGCTGTTCTTGGCAGGCCCTGTAGTCTGATCCCGGAGCCCAACCTCCAGCAGTCTGCTCTGGAGGGGTGCAGGACTCCAGCGGACCCGGAAGAGGTCCGAAGGAAGGGGATATCATGTGAGCAGGGGTGTGGAAGAGGTGCTTCCACAGGAGACCTGGGTGCTCCTGGGGTGGGGCAGTGGTTTCTGGGCACCTCCCCTCCTCACCGTCTTAGCTCCCTGCTCCAGCCCCCAGAGGTGTTGAATCGGCTGCCTGCCCCATCCTCTAGCAGCTCTGTGGCCTGCCATGGTGACTTTGCTGACTGGGAATGCCTCCATCTGTTGGCCTCCCCCACCCACAGTGGCCTCTGACCTTTGTAGAGAGCCCTTCCACCCCTCGAGGGTTTTAATGAGCATCTTGTGGATGGAAAGGGTGGGTCCAGGAGGAGCAGTGCCTGGTGAAGGTGGAGGCTGGCTTGGACCTCCCACCTGCTGCCCTCCACAGGGGCACTAAAGCTAGCCAGGTCTCTGTGGAGGCCTGCTACCTGGCCCCTTCCCTGCCACACTGTACCAGCTGCCCTCACAGCAGGACCTGGCTAGCAAACACTTAATGAAGTAGGCAGTAGTCCAGCCATCGATGGAGGTGCCCACAGGCTGGACACTGGCTGGGAACCAGGACACCTATGCATGAGGCCAGGAATTGGGGGGTAGGGTGGCTGCCAGCAGAACGGGATTGATGGAGGCTCTGCCCCTGGACAGCCTGGCCCACTGTGGACTGACCCGGGTACAAGTTGTGCCCTGAGCTTGCTGCTGGTGGATTGTCAGTGGCCAGAGAGGATCAGGGTGGAACAATAGCTCTGACCCCTTGGGAGGAGGCAGTGAGGAGGAGCCAGAGGCCTAGTAACTCTGAGTAACCTACCTACCAGGAGGAACTGGTGGGAGAAACGAAAGTGGCTGGGAGGGGAAGAAGGGGTGATGAGCCAAGGGACAGGAATGAGGGTCAGAGAGGACAGTCTATCTTGTGTCTTGGAGTACAGGAAGCTCTGGGGCCTTGGAGGAAGTTCTGAGGGAAGAGATGGTGAGGGGTCCTGGTAGTAAGAACTCAAAGGAAGACCCCTGCATGCACAAGCTCTAGCATTCAGGAAAAAGCTCGAGGCAGATGTGGCACAGGGGACTCTGGTCTGGTAGACTGTTCAGGGCAGGAGCCAGGTTTGGAGCCAGCCTAGTGGGTAAGGCCAGCCACCACAGACCAAAATGAGATGTATATGAGTGGGGCTGGTGTGGGGATGAGGTGGCACAGTCCAGTGGTTCCAGGGAATCACCATGCAAGACTGGTGTTCAAATCCCTGATGGGTGTGAGTTCTGGCACCTGGGGGACCCAAGGGAAAGGAGCCCTGCTCTACATCCAGCTCTGGTGCGTACAGAAAGGGAAGCAGGGATTCCCCAGGAAGGGATGTGGACTCACCAAAATATCAGGCCCCAACTACAGCCTGACAGCTGGCTGTGAAGAAAGGAACTGGTTTCCCTTTTTGATGGGGTTGCAAGCCTGCCCAAGAGAGCCCAGATGCTGTGGGTTTGGGTTTCAGCAAAACTCTGAATGCACTCGGAATTCTTGAGGACAGAAAGAGCGGGAGAGACTTCCTGTATGCTAGGGCCCTGCTCCATACGGACAGACCAGCCCTGATCCTGGGGTGGTGCTGCAGGCATCTACTGGCCTTCAGAACCCCAGTGTCCCAGAGCTCAGGAGTCACAGAGCATGGGCAGCAGTGTGGCTGCAACTATGGTTTATTCAAACATGCAAGGCTGAGTGTGAAACGCAAACCTAACTAAGGAGATCTGCCAGTGGCCCCCAGAGGTGGCCATGCTACGGTGGCCCACAGTCAGTTCTGCATGGCTGAGAGGCACTGGGACCCCTCTAGTTATTTCTTGGGTCTGAGGAGCCTGGGGGCCCTGGGATCTTGTTGGAGGCACTTCCTCATCTAGAAACCAGAATATCTTGCTAAAGAAAAAAGCAGAAATCACTTGTGTCTGGGGGCAGGGAGGGGGTAGCAGAAACTGTCCCATACTCTGGGGATGGGGGTGGGGCATGAGTAAACTAGTTCTTATCTAACCTTGTCTATGTTCTATGGGGGGGGGGGCGGTGGATCAGTGACAGAGGCAGACCAGGGAGGTCTGACTCAAAGCCCAGTAGCCTATAGGAAGGACCTGACATCTCGTTCAGGGTGTGAGGGAGATCCTAGGGGAGCAAAAGGGGATGTCACAGCCCAGGTCTAAGGAGTCCAAACTGGTTTAACCAATGCCAAAATCAGGTGAGTGTCACAGCCAGGGTCTCTGCCACCAGTGCTAGAGGCCAGGCTGTGTGCGGAGCCCAGGCCAGGCAGGTGGAGCATTTGGTCAGCCTGGCCAGGCTTTAGGGGGCTGTCTGGACCTAGGGAACCCTGATGTGGCTCTGACATTCTTTTAAGGAGCCCAAGGGGACCTGGGACCTCTGGAAGCTATTGGGCCAAGGACAAGGACAGTTTCCATGTTGGTGGGGGGTGTCAGGGGAAGCCTAACTTATTAGAAGCAACTGATCAAGCAGGGGTGGGGATGCAGCCACACTGTTGCAGGGGTGACCCTGGTATCACTGCCACAAATCACCAGCTGCCGCCCCGTTGTCCTTCTCGTGGAACTTGTGCAGGTGATCGGCGAACCTGGGAACAGAAACCACTTCTGAGGCTAAATGTGCAAAGGAGAGAAGTGTGTGTGTGTGTGTGTGGGGGGGGGCACGTCCCATGTGACAGATGGCCCTGGGGAAGCGGGCGTGGTGGAGGGCTGGGAGAGGACAGGATGGAGCTGTGGTGGACAGCCTGAGGAGCAGGCATCATGAGGGAGGGGCTTGGTGTGGTGTTGAGGAGGGAGGTGGGAGTTCGGGGACTAGATTTTGGGTTTTGGGAACAGGGGACATTCTCACTTCTTGGCGCAGGTGGCAGCACAGTCCCTCTCCACACTCTCGCTCCAGGCCAGCTTGTAGAGCACCTGACCAGATGGAGACAGTGTGAGCTTCCCACCCACCTCATGGCCACTCCCACAGCCCACCCATGGCCCCTGTGTCTGCACTCTGGGGACAGAAATGTCCTGTGGCCTTGGCCCCAAGGAAGTGGGCTACAGAGACACTCCTGAGCTTGCTTGTCTCACAGGAGGTCCGATAGGTCCAGACACAGAGGAATGGCCCTGACACGGGGCATACTTCTGACAGGTCCAGGAGGTGCTGGGCCCTGCAGTCAGAGTGGGAGCCCAGGCTAGCTCTGGAGGGGCCATGGGACAGGCTGACTGGAGGTGAGTCCCTGAGGTTGGACTCATACAACAGGCTGGCCCTCTCCTCCCCACTGTGGCAGACACAGAGGCATCCCCAGGCCACTGACTCCAGTGCCCCTCTGACTTGGGGAGATGTGGACAGCCCACCCGGCAGTCACTGGGGAGATTTGTTAGACCTGGTCCCTCTTGCCTCAGGCTCCCACCAAGGCCTTTCTTTCCACCAAGCCGCTCAGGTCTGGGTCAGTGGCTGTGGTCAACCAGGCTTCCTCCCCTGAGTGGCCAGGCTGTGCCCTAGTCAGAGGATCCAATCCAAGTCTGGAGTGCTCTTTGTCCCCAGGATGGGGACCCAAGGGAGAGGAGTGGCTCAGAACTGAGGGTGTGGCTTTGAGGAGGCCACAGTAACAGGGTCCTGCTGCCCTGGAGGTCAGCAGAGCATGGTGACATCGCTGGCTTATTGTCAGAACACTCACCAAGAAGACCAGGCAATGCAGGAAGAGGGTGTAGAAGAAGCCGATGGTGCGGGCCATCTTGTTGGAGAGGACCAGACGACCCTGGGGGCCAAACAGGGAGTGGGAGGGTGGGAAGGGGCTGCCCCTGGCTCTTGCAAAGGGGCGCTGGGGCTGCAAGGGGAGGGAAGGGCTGGGAGCTGGGGACCCTTCTACAATGTATGGAAGGGGGCCGATGGAGGGGGAAGTCCAGCTACAGGATTTTGGGGAATGGCGCCCCCTGCAGCCCAGTTCCAAAGCTGACAGTGAATGGTGTTATCAGAGGAGCTGCTGGGGAGAGGGAAGGACCCTGTCCCATTTCCCCAGTCACATGGCCCCCCTTGTTAGGGCATGGGAGAGGCTGTGTGGCCCCTGGGGTTTCTCCCGATGGGGCTGGAGGGCAGGTGCCATGGTGCCTAGAGATAGATGTTCCTGTCTGTCCCAGGTAGGCACAGGCGTGGGGACTCACCATGCTTAGTGTGGCCTTGTCCCAGGGGCTCAGGCTCAGGTACTTCCTCTGCCGCTCCTGAAGGAGGAGGGACGATGAAGAAAGGACCCAGAGAGGGCTGCAGAGCCCTAGATGGCTGCTACGGGCCCCCTGGTGACAGTCCCACTCAGTGTGACATTCTGGGCTCCCCCAGCATCTGTGTGACTCCCCCACTCCCAGGGCCCCTAATGCCTGTGTAAAAAGCTCTTCCTGGAGAGGAAGGCTTAGGTGGGTGGGGGAGGCCACCACCATCGTGGGGAGTGGGACCCCCTTGCTTTGTCTGCCTGCCCCACGGAGCACTTGGTGAACCTGCTCACTGCCACACACCCACAGAGAGCCACTGAGGTCTTCCTGGGGGTGTCCTGGGCGTCTATGGCACTGAAGCAGTGTGGAGCTGCTGGTCAGGGAGGGTCTGGGCATGCAGAGCCGAGTGTGCCAGGCCAGGGGAGAACAGATGGGCATAGGGAAGGGAGTGGTGGGAACTGCTCAGGCCCCCTGCACTGACCCGCTTGCTGAAGGAGGAGAAGGGGTCCAGACGCTCCTCATACTGGGTCGAGTATCGCAGCTCCGTGTCATCACTGCTGCCACCCTGCACACGGGGAGGAGGAGAAGCCCGTCAGGGGCACGGCCCAGCAGGCAGGCAGTGCTCAAGGAAGGCAGGCCAACAGCCATGGCTTCTGGGAGAGGGTGCTGGGTGACAGTGTGAATGTGACCGCTGGCTCTGGCCTGGGGTCAGAGTTCTGTCTCCTCTCCAGGCGTCAGGCCCACCTCTGGTTACCTCTAGGGAAACGAGGCCCAGGTGGGACAGGACAGGGCTGGGCCTGGGTACTAGTTGCTGAGGCTGGCCTCTAATTCGTGGGCTCAAGCTATCTTCCTGCGTCCGTCTTCCTAGTAGCTGGGACCACAGGTGTGGGCCAGGATGCGCTTGGTAGGTTTCGAGGGGGTTGCTGGGGGTTGCGGGAGGCAGCCACTTGGAGCAGCACTGGTTCGTGGAGTCTGGGCGCCCTCTGGTGGCTGGAGAGCAGCATAGCAGCGCTGCTCCAGCAGGTGAGGGTGGGGCCCGCGGTGTCTGAGCTCCCTCCCCTTTTACTTCCCGCTCTGTCTTCCTTTGGTCACAGAAAGGGTTTCCTTGCAGGCCGGGACCCCTGAGAGGCCTGGGGGCCGAAGGACACCAGGGACAGCATTCTCAACTGGAATGAAAATTCTGAATTTTTTAAAAAATATAGATGTATAAAACATACCAGTTCCCAGCCTGTCCTGAATGCTCAGTACCCCTAGGGTTCAGTGCCCAGATCCTGGGGTGCACTAGTGGGTCACCACCATTTCACAGAAGGGTTGCCTGGGCTGGTGGGCCCCTGGTCCAGGACCCACCTCCCTGCTGGTTTTTTGAGTGAACCCTTATGGAGTCCACTCTGAGCACAGGGAGATTGGCTGACAAGAGTCGCGGTGCTGGATGGCCTTGGAGGTCCCCCAGGCCCAGGGTTGCCCCACAGGTCATTCCCCCAGCCTTCCTGTCTCAAGGCCCTGACCAGCCTCTCCCTCCACCTGGCCCCCTGGGGCTGACCGGGAGGACGCTCACCCTGCCTGGGTAGCTCTGCAGGAACTTGATCTTCTCGAAGAGCTTGATGTTGTCGGCGCGCAGGCTGTCCAGCTCGCCCTGCAGGGCTTGGATGGTGTGCTGCGCCAGGCGGCTCTCCTGTGGGGGCAGTGGGCAGGTGGGAGGGCCAGGGTCAGAGGGCACCACACTGGCACAAGTACTGCCCTCTACTAGGCACCTCTCTGTGCCCTTGGCCTTCTCCTTGACCTGCTGGACACTGCTCATGGCTGCCCCTCTTGGAAGTTCCCCCTTTTCTTCCTGGTCCCAGCCCAGGTCACCGTCTGGGGTCAGGTGTCTTCGTGTTTTATTTGGTTGGGGTGTTACCAGCCTTTTAGATGATCATCATGACTCCTGTTATTATTAATGCACTGCTGGGGGTCAACCCAGGTCCTTGCACTTGGTAGACCAGGGCTCTCCCTCTGAGCCGTGTCCCCAGCCTCTGTAAGCCACGGAGGTCTAATCCAATCCCATAAATGTCACCATCTTTATGTGGACAATGCAGTCCACTCACCATGTCCAACCATCTCCATCATTTAATTTCAGGACATTTTTATCACCCTAGCAAGAATCCCTGCACCTGTCAGCCGTCCCCCTGTCCCCCGCCCCCTGGCAGTCACTTCCTGGACATTTCACAGAAATGGAATCACAGCCGTGTGGATTTAATGTTGGCTGACCTAAAGGCGAGAGGAAATGGGATCTCGTGTTTCAATTTCCTCAAGTGTGTGAAAGTGGGGGTTTCCTTTCTGCTGTTCAAAATTCAAGCAGTACCAAGAGGAACATGGCAGTGTGGCCATGTTCCTTGAAAAACCGAATGTAGAACTGTCACATGCTCTGGCAAGGCCCCTTCTGGGATCACGTCCAAAATAATAGGAGAGCAGGGTCTGGAAGGAATGTCATCTGTGCACCCTTGTGAACACTGCTCTCGACAGCCACAGCCCGGGGGCAGCCCAGAGGTCTCGCAGGGGAGTGGACAAATAAAATGTGGCACATGCAGAAAATGGAGCAGTTCTTAAAAGGAGGGACTTTGGGACATATGGTACAACATGGATCAACCTTGAGGACATGACAGTAAGTGAACTAAGCCAGTCACCAAGGAAAATACAGTATGAATCCACTTATGTGAAGTGAGAAAGAAAATTGTGGTTCAGTTCCTAGAGACAGAAGCAGGGTGGCAGCTGCCAGGTGCCAGCAGAGGAAGAGTGGGGACCTGAGTGGGTGGAGGTTCAGACTTGCAGGATGCAGAGCTCAGGAGATGGCCGGGGTGACGGTGGTACAATGCGAGTGTACTTATTGGTCAGGATGGTAAGTTTATGTTACGTTGTTTATTTCACCATGATTTTTAAGAAAGGTTTTGGTACCAGGTCTAAAATTGTTATTATTTTGGGGGGTGCAGGGATTAAATCGAGGGGTACTCTACCACCGAGCCCCCGGTCCTTTTTATTTTTGAGACAGGGTCTTGCTCAGTTGCTGAGGCTGGCCTTGAACTTGCCATCCTCCTGCCTCAGCCTCCTGAGCTGCACCCCCATGCCCGGCACAAGCACAGGCTGGAACCCTCTAAAGGCTTTTGCTCCCCCACTTCCTGTGTCTCCTGGCCTTCCCACCGGGGCTGTCCCCAGGGCCTGAGGGCCAGGAGGTTCCCAGGTTACACCTGCAGCCCTGGTGGCTCCTTCTGTACAGCCTCTTGCTCCAGAGCTGGGTGGCAGAGGGTCCTTGGGTGTGACCATGCCAGTCGCTGATGGCTCTGGTGGGGCCTGCGGTCTGTGAGAAGGTTCTGCGACTTCCGACCCCTCCCATTGGGAGAGTGTCTGTAGGGGAGAGTCCCAGGACTGGCTCCAGAGCCCCAAGGCCGGGGCAGTGCCACACCCACGTTTCCCTGCTCTGTCACCTGGCTCTCTGCCCTACTGCATTCAGTGTCCGTGCCTTCCTGGGGACACCCAGGCCCTGACCTAGGCATAGTGTCTAGACACCTCCTGCCCCTGCTCCTCCTGCTCCCTCCCAGGCCCTCCAGGGCTCTGTTCCGTCCCCTTTGGGGACCTCATCCCTGCAGCCACCAGCCACGTGTAGACAACACCCTATGGAGGCCCCTCCTCTGGGGCCCACAGCACCTCTCAAGTCCAGATGGTCACCCGTGCAGGGCAGGCCCTCCCTCAGGTGCCCCTCCAGGAAGGCCCTGGTGTGGGCCAGTGGCCAGCAGGCTCTTTGGGCTCCTTGGTCCCCTGACCCCTTGAGATCCCTTTGCTGTTCTTAGGACTCAGCATGGCGCACGCGGCCTCCTCCAGGAAGCCCTCCCTGACCGCACAGGACAGGCCCCTTCTCACTGCAGTTTAAGGTCTGTGACAGTTTCCTCCTCTGGGCCCATGTGTTCTCCCACTGTGTCCTCAGGACCGTGGCATGCAGGGGACAGAAGGACGTGACTCACAGCCTCTAGCTCCTGGTTCCGGGTACGGAAGCGCTCCCTCTGGCTGGAGATGATGGACAGCAGGGAATCCACCTGGCCCTCGGGGAGGGTGCCACTGGCTGGTGGGGAGGGTCCTGGGAGAGAGTGGAGACGGTGGCTTTGGGTGGCAGGAGACATGGGTGGCCCAGGCCTTGAGGTGGAAGTCGGCCCCCCAGGTGTGAGCAGGTGTGTGAAGGGGAGGGGCAGCCAGGGAGCCTGAGAGGGCCGAGGCTGGCCCTGCAGGGCACCTGTCTGCACTGCCAGGCCTGGGGCTCCTCCGCCCTGTTACTCTTTGTGGATGCGGGGCCACTGCCTCTGTCACACCTGTCCCTTGTCAAGCAAAGAGACACTGAGGGAACTGGGGAGGCCTGGACACACCCCCACATCCTGGTGCGGCAGCCTCAGGTTCTGGCCTCAGTCCTGAGGAGGCTGCCTCCCCTCAACCCTGAGGAGCTCCAGCTGCCTCGTGGCACTAAAGCCACGGCAGGCCACGGGGTGGGCGCGGGGGCCGACCTGCTGCTTTCGAGGTCCCTGCTGCATTGTTGGGTGGGGGCTCCTCTGTTGAGGAGGGGGAGCGTCCTTGGGGGCTCTGGGCTCTCCGCCTGCACCTGCCCCCAGCCCTCCTCCCTGGGCCCCATCTCACCATAGAACAGGGCGGTGGCCTCCTTGATGGGCTCTGGGATCTTCTCCAACCCTTGCTCAGCAGCACCCTGAGGTGGGGGAGAGACGCAGGTGCTCCCACATCCGGGCACTGACCGCCCTCTCTCAGGGTGGCCGAGCCAAGTGGGGTGGAGAGCTGCCGGCCTGCATGGACTGGGCCCTGGGGTGCTCCTGAGGGAGTTCAGCCGCGTGGCTCTCACCTGGCCACTGGGCCCTGAGCGGCACCAGAGCCTGGGCAACCCTGGCCCAGCAGCCGGACGCTGTGGGACCCGGGCAGCCACACCTCCTCAGCTGCGAGGGAGATGCCGTGCCCCTGGGGACCCTCTGGGCTCCTGCCTTCTGTGGTCTGGGGCCTCTGATGCTTCAGCCGAGAGAGGGGTGCAGGAGCCTGGCCTTGCCTCTGCCCGTGGGGAGGACGGTGGCCAGCCCGGGGGGAGTGGGGAGCCCAGAAGATGTGGGCGCAGCCCCCTAGATTTTTGGGGTGGGGTGGGCTTACCCAGCTGCAGGGTCATGGGGGGCCGACCTGGGAGGTCCAGGGCTCCTGAGGCTGAAAGGACGGGGGCCCGGGGAAGGGCAGAGGGGAGCGGGGCTCACCTCCGCATCCGGGCGCCGGAGGGACTGGATGGTGCTCAGGTCCTGCTCTAAGCGGGCGATCAGCTCTCTCTGCTCAGTGGCCGTGGCCATGGCCTGGGTGACGTGCATCTGCAGCTCTGCACAGCGCCCTGCAGCCAAAGGAAAATGCGACCATCAGAGGACCTGACGTGACCCCCTGGCCTGCCCCTGCGGCTCACGGTCCATTGGCCATTCCCTCCACACAGCCACGGCCCAAGAGGTGCTGGTTGCAACCACCCTGGGCCTGGGTCCCCAGGGGAGGGGAAGGAAACTGGGCCTGGACTTAGGAGAAACGGGGGCACCCTACCTCTGCCCAAGACCTTCCCGGTGACCCTGGATGGCCCCTTCTCCCCTGGGTCTCACTTGGCCTCTGTCAAGCAGGGCGAGGAGCCTCAGGCCTTCCCAGTGAGCCCCCAGTTTCTCATGTCCTGGGATCATGACCGGAGAGGGCCCGGGTGGGAGGGGCTGAGAAAAGCAGGTGAGGGGTGGGGGGGGCAGGGGGGTCCCGCCTCTGGAGCTGAGCCCAGACCTGGGTGGACCCCCCTGCAACAGGCTCCAGACACAGCCCTGTCCCTCTCCCCTATCCAGGAGCCAGCCCCTGCCACCAGCCCCGCGCCTGGTGCTGTGAATCAAACCCCAGGATCATCTTTGCTAGGAGGCAAATCCAAACTCATTCTGTTTGGAAACCTCTGCCCCTGCAGGAGGGTGGGAGATGGTGGGCAAGTTCTCCAAGTCTGGTCTCCAGAATGCCTTCAGTGGTCACTGGCTAGGACAGCAGAGTCCTGGGAGATGACCAGATCGCAGGATGAGCTATGGGTCTGCTTCTGGCTGTGTGACTCCAGGCAGCTGGACCACCCTCTCTGGACCTCATTTATAAAATGGTGATGACAGACCTTCCTTGGTGAGCTGTGGGGCACTGTCCTTATGGGTGGACTGCATGGCCACCAGGGGGCACTGTGGCCTCAGAAATGCTCAGACTCCAGGCAGTGAGCTGTGAACCAGCTCCTCACTGGGCAGCCTGCTGACCAGCTGTCCAACCGGCCCTGGGCCAGGGGACAGCCCACCCCACCCCACTGCTCCACCTCCTGGTGCCCACCACCTGCCACGCCCTTTCTGCACCCTGTGACAGTCTGGTCATTCAGAACTGAGATGAAGAACTGAGGCGTCCCCACCTGGGACGGAACCCAGCGGTGCCCTGTCCCCCAGGGCGTCCCCACACCACAGTCCCCACTGCTCAGGCCCCAGATGGACTCCTTCCTCAGACAGGCGGGCCCCTTCCCTATTCCTGGTGGGCAGGCGGTGGTGAGGAAGGGGGGCGGTGGAGTGTGGCGTGGGGGCAGCGCCAGGACTGAGGGCGGGCTGAGGGGTGGCAGGGGTGGAGCTTTAGCGGGCCCCAGTGGGGAGACTCAGAAAGGACAAACTTGCCATGACCTCGGCCTTGGGCCCAGGCCTGGAGATGGGACTGCCGAGCCCGCGCCTCCGCACCATGCATGCTCAGGGGGGCTATGGATGGAAGTCCAGGACATGGAGGGAGAGGACAGCCAGAAAGCTAGTGGGAATGGCACTGGGTGGCGACCTACAGAAGGCCAGAGAAGCCAAGCAGTGGCCGCCTGTGATCCCAGCCACTCAGGAGGCTGAGGCCAGAGGATCACAAGTTCAAGGCCAGACCCCGTCTCAAAGTAAGCAAACAGGACTAGGGGTACATCTCAGGGGTAGACCTTTTGCTCAGTATGCACGAGGCCCTGGGTTTAATCCTCAGTATTAAAAAAGAAAGAAAGAAAGAAATCAAGCTAACAGAAGCTTGGGTAACATTAATAGAGGTGAAGGGCCTGGACTGAGGGAGGGGATGGGGGTTCATTTTCTGGCAAGAGAGGCCACAGGAGCAACTGCAAACAGAAGCCTGTCCACAGCGGTGCAGGGACTTATTCTGTCTGGGTGGGGTAGACAGAGTCCCTGACAAGGCGCAGGTGAAGGGCATTCGGGGATGAGGGCACAGGGGTCACAGGTGTGGGGCTGACATGAGGAACTGAGGGCAGGTGACCACTGCCCACCAGAGTGAAACCTCTCCCCTGGGGGTGTGCGTGGGGCAGGGACCTTGCAGAAGTGGCACAAGGGCTGGCTCGAAGGCCAGTGAGATGGCTCCGGGACCTGCTTGTTTTATCTGCCACCAGCCTGTGTCACCCGAGCATGGCTTGGCCTGGCTTCCAGGGTGGGCACAACCTGCAGCTTCAAGAGCCACCAGAGGAAATGGGGGAGGCTGGGAGAGCCTGGGCCAGCTGCTGGGGGTGGGCTCATGGTCCCTGCCTGTGCATACAGGTGACATTCTGCACGTGTGTGAGGGTCCTGAGAGCAGACCTCCACCCAGGCTGCCAGCTCAGGCCTCCCTGGGGACGGTCAGTGTGTCCTGTGTCCAGCTGCTCTGGGCAGCCTTCTGCTGTAGCTGCAAGTATAACATTGTGGAGCTCTGGGCGCAGGATGACGGTCAGGGGACACCATCCCTAAGGACATGGCTCTGGGGGACACTGGCTGGTGTCTGTGTGCAGCAGAAATGGAGGATGGCGGCTTGTGAGGCCCAGAGGAGAGGCTGGGTAGAGGTCAGAGGGCAAGGAGGCCCTGGGGGAGAGGCTGCAGGGAAGCCCCAGGGCAGGGCGGGCACTTGAGACAGTAAGGACAGGCCCAGGCGGACCCCAGCAGTGACTGAGCTATGCCTGGGACCTGTCCCTCCACGCTGGGACTGAGGAGGCGGGAGGCGGCCTGTGAGGCACCCTGAGGAGGGTCTCAGCTCCAGACCCTTCTTGGAGGGGCTGTGGACGCTCCCTGCCCCCTCTGCAGGAGGAGGGGACACACAGACCAACAAGTTGGGGGTCAATGCCTGGGTGGCCACAGAGCATCAGAGGAGCGCCTGGGCTGGACTCCCCCAGAGCTGGGGTTTGACCCCTGCCCTCTAGGGCTTTCGTGACCCCAGGCTGGCAGGGTTCGGACCTGGGCAACTCCGCTCTGGGACAAGGTGGAAGAAGTGCTGGTGACAGCCTGGACCCTTTGTGTACAGAACCCGGGGGAGGAGGCCTGTGTCTGGCCCCAGCCCCCTGGGAGGGGGACGGAGGGGCGGGTGGCTCTGGAACCATGTAGTACCGTGGGACAACTAAGGGACTGTATGGTGGGGACGTGGACCTGGGCGCCCAGGCAAGGAACTCAGAGGGCACAGCAGTGGCAGTGGCCAGAGCTTGTGGTGACATCTCAGAGGAGTGCCACAAAAACCTGGGGAAGAGGTGGCAGGAATCAGGGTACAAGTCAGGAGGAAGTGTGTTCAGGGACCACGTGGAAGAGGGACTGTCCAGAAATAAGGAGGGTTGCAGGTGTCTCAAGCTACAGAAAGACGGAGGCGGGGAGGGCTGCGGACCCACTGGAGAGGGTCCAGGGCCGTGAGCCCAGGGCAGTGGCCAGTGGGGGAGGGGTGAGTGCTGGGGACAGGTGTCCAGCAGTGATGAGGCGCAGGGCTGGGGGGACCCTGTGGCGGGGGGTGGCTGTGCAAGAGAGCCCGTGGGAGGGTGTGGGGACAGTCTGCAGCTAGCAGGAGGGGTGATGAGGGCGAGCATGTGCGGGGGGGGGGGGCTGGCCTCGCCTCTGACTGTCCTCTCCCCCTTTGAAGGTGAAGGGGACCTTGTCCTTCTGGGAGAATCTGGAAGACGTCCTGGAAGGTGCATTTCAGAGGGAAGTAGGAGATCCGAGCAAGGTCAAGACCTAAGGAGGCAGAGTCCACTGCCCAAGGCAAGGACAAGGACCACTGAAGGGCAGAGATTCTCACAGCTGGTGGCAGGTGGCGAGGCCTGTGGGCACTGGAGGCAGGGCCCCTGTCTTATTCAATCAGCCACCTGCAGGCTCCCTCACGGCCCCTCCCTGCCTCTGCCCTGGGACAACCCCTGGTGATGGTGGCTGTGCCTGTCTCTGCCAGCGGGTGCTGGCCACATTCCCCTGTGCAATGGTGTCCCCAGGAAATTTCCCCCTCCTGGCGCATGGACTCTGCTTCTCCCTGGCAGTGGCACAGTGTGGTGGGGGTCCCGCTGCAGCTCCCGGCGCACACGCACCTTCTCTCTACCCGCCCCCCGCCCCCAGCAAAGCACCTTGGAGAAGTCCATGTCCAAGTGTCCACCACACCCAGGACCCGCCAAGGCCTCCGCACGTGGCCACGTCCTCATTCTCCAGTCCTCTCATGGCCTTCCCGCCCGCCACCCCATTTCCTGGGCCTCCCTCCCACTCAGCATCTCTCTGGCACCTCATCCGCAGCTGACGGTGACCCCCGATGGCCAGGGCCGCAGCCCGCGGTGACCCCATATTCACACACACTTCCCCAGCTGGGACTCTCACCCCCAGAGTGCCTCAGACGCCTTGGACTGCAGTCTTTCTCGTCACACGGGGGAGAACACCCACATAGACACTCCCAGGCCTGCCGGTGACCACGCATGGCGGTCAGCATGGGGACGTGGCCCCCCCCGCCTGCCATGTTTCTGCTTCACCTGGTGCCCCTGCTGCCCCTCGTCTACCTGGCAAGAGCCTCTACCTGCTTCAGCCACTCCACCCTGAGGTCCTCCAGCCCCTCACCAGGTCAGTGCTCAGTGACCAGCCCCCAAACAACAGGACCTGGGTGTCTCTTCCTGCCCCACCCTCCTCTGGGCTTGTGCCCAGCCTGGAGCATGTCCCTGGCCCAGAGCTGGCCTCAGTCACCTTCTGCTGCATACCCTGGTGGAGGGGTTCTGAAAGAGGTGGCCTCGTAGGGCGGGGTGGGCCTGGTCACATGTGGGGTCAGGTCATTCCTTGCTGTGGGGGACTGTCCCATGCCTTATAGGAGAGCTAGCAGGGTCTCCTGGCCTCTGCTCTCAAGATGCCAAGGGTGCCTTCCTATTGTGACTGACAAAAACATCTGATATTGCTAAATGTCCCCAGGGGCAGAGTTGCCACCGGTGGAGAACTGCTGTCCCACCCAGAGACTCCAGTTTCCTCAAGTGCTTCTGGGTTTGGCTGTGGGAGCTGCCCTGACAGACAGCCACACCAGATAGACTGCAAAGACGTGACCTCCTGCCATGGGAGGCAATGAGGAGAGGGTGCTGGGAGG